AAGGTACCTCGCAATAACGATTCCGATTGGGAACAGAAGCCCCCAACTCACTGCGTTTAGAACTCCGTGAATCTGAAAAATCAAACGCAGAGAAAAAAAAAAAGTCCGAATGAAAAAAAAAAATTAGAAAAAATACGAGAAAAATTAGGGCAGAGATTTTCCGTAGACATCGTACATTTTTCCTCATGGTTCGCGAATCAATTTTCCCGCCACTAGAGGCGGAGTTTGTCCCGCCGCCAGACAAACCTAGGGTTCCTTTCGCGTTGAGATTGGGAGGTTTAAACCCATGAACGCCCAAATCCGTTCCATCAACAGACGGTCCAACTTGCCAGACCTGATTCACCCCTGTAGCCGCCTCAGGCACCTTCAATTTCGCGAAAATCATCAACTCTCCACCGGAAAACACCGCCGTCGCATCCCAAACCTCGAAAGAAAGCTTGGAAGGCTTGACAGAGTCGTAAGAAGCAACATTATAAGTCTTGACAACCGGAACGCCGCCTTGGAGATAGGCAACGAGAGCCTGAGAGCCGGCCATACCAGTGGAAGTAGGATTGACGGCCCAAGCGATCCATCCGGCGGATGTGGAAGGTTTGGCAACAAAGGCAACAGAGAGAGAAGAATTGGAAGAATCGTAAGTCCAATGAATGAAAGCAGACAGGGAAGAGAGATCGGAGCAGCGAGAATACAGATTGTTGTTAGAGAACTTCCTTGAAGAACAGGTGAGAGAATCTCCTAGAGAGAAAAACAGAGACAGGAAGAGGAAAAACCACAACTCCCAACTCGAGGAAGAAGAAGAAGAAGACGCCATGGAAGAGCGAAGTGAGGTCTGTGGGGATTTATTTGAGGACTGAAATTAGCGTCTGTCAGAATGCAGTAATTAGCAAACATATTGCTTTAATAAATTTCGCGACGGAACAGATAATGCTATAATTAGAGAATAAAAAAAATAAAAAAGAAACAAAAACATGAGGCTGTCGATTTACGACACGTGGCAAAACGATCTTTAATCTCATGGAAGCGCATAGAGTGGTTGTTATATATATATATATATATATAATTCCGCTCAAAACGACACCGTTTTGTATTGTATTTTAAAATTTTAACTATAAACATAATTTAAAGATTAAGGTTTTATTAAATATAAAATATACAATAGATTAATTAATATTTAAAATATTTATATAATTAATATTTCTCTCAATGACGTTACCATTACATCATTATTGCCTCACCCTTTTTTTTATTTTTATATTAAATACTAATTAACTAATTTAAACCTAGCTTAACTATAAATAAATATTCGACCAAATTTTATAATTTTGAAAATTTTAAAGATAAAAGTCTAAAATTGCACGTAATTGATACTTTTAGACATCTAATAAATACGAAATTAAAAAAAAAAATTAATTAATTTTTTTTTATTGAGATGAAATTTTCGAAAATCATAGAAGAATATGAAGAATTAACATTCATTCGACCGAACCTATCCTAAGACATAACACGTGCTACACAAAGGATCGTGATCCGACAAGAGTAAGCTTTAAATTCGTCCTCAATTCAAATGGTAAGTTGTAACTCAGATTGGGATTCTTTGAGCAACTCACGTAATCGTTGACCTCTTACCAATTGATTATGAGTAGCTTTATCGAGATCAGAAGCTAATTGTTCTTTAAGCAACTCAAGTAATCGTCGACCTCTTCCCAATTGATTCTTCGTAGCTTTATCGAGATCAAAAGCTAATTACGCTCCTAATTCGACAAATTGAGCCAATCTCAATATTAATCTACTTAAAATTTGAGCACCATATCCTACCGGGACCGGAAAATCACCGGTAATCGGCAGTCAACCATATGGCTATGAATTCATTCTATACACACACCATCCGTCACACGACAGGAGATGACCATGTCCAAAGTCCGGAGTGGAGTTGTTTTTTAAAACAATTTTATTAAGTGAAAATCTATTATTAAACTTTAAATATAAAAGAATTACACTATTTTTATATAATTTTAATTTAAAAAAATAAAATAAAAAATAAAAAATAAAAAGTCAGCATTAAATACCTGATTTTAGGCAGACAAAAACGGATATTCCCAACGATCTGTTCATCATTGTTGTTTAAAAACCCATTTCCTTCTCCCTCACAAACACACCATTTCCGTTCCCATCTTCTTCTTCCTTTCTTCATTTCTCCCCAAAATTCCCCAACAATGGCGTCCCTCTGTAAAATCTTCATCCCCTTCCTCTCCCTCCTCCTCGCCCTCCTCCTCTCCTCCGCCCATTCCCTCACCTGTTCTTCCCAATCCTTCCCCAACCGCACCTTCGCCCACTGCCAAGACCTCCCCCACCTCAACGCCTTCCTCCACTGGTCCCACGACCCCAAAAACTCCTCCCTCTCCCTCGCCTTCATCGCCCCTCCGCCTCACTCCGTCGGCTGGGTCGCCTGGGCTATTAACCCCACCGCTACCGGTATGGCTGGTTCCCAAGCCCTAATCGCTACTCTTTCCGGTGATACCCCCACTGTTCGTACCTTCGATGTCGTCTCCTACTCCTCCCTTCGTCCTGCGCCGCTCTCCTTCCCTGTCTGGGATGTTGCCGCTGAATTCGCTGATAAACGAATCACGATCTTCGCTACTGTGGAAGTTCCGGCGAAGGCTAAGTCGGTGAACCATGTGTGGCAAGTTGGAGCTAAGGTCGATCCGGCTACTGATGCGCCGAAGATTCATGAGTTTGCGCCGGCTAATTTGAAGGCGAAAGGCGTGTTGGTGTTTGATGGGGAGGGGGGTGCTGGTTCTCCTGCTTCGGCGCCGGAGGATGCTGGGGTTAGTGAAAATGGTGGTGCTGCCGCCGCTGCCTCGGCGCCGGGATCGTCGGATAAGGGTGGGGTTGATGGGACTGGTAACGGAATTTTTGGGTTTGTTGTGGGTTTAGTTGCGTTTAGTTGGGGGGTTATTAGTTTCTCCTTTTAAATATTTTGGGGAGAAATGGAGAAAATAAGTCTCATTTTACAGATGTCTATTTTGGGGAATTATAATAATATATTCTTTTAAATAATTTGCTATTTTGTTCTTGCTCTTTATTTCTTGTTGGTGATGTCCATTGCTAACACTAAAATAAAAGGAAAGTTCGTAATTCTAAATGCCCATGATGTCATTCACGTGCCACGACCTTAACCTTACTAAGGCATTTTCGTGTTGAGATGCCTTGATGATGGTTCTTTGTTGTGTTGAGATGGCCCCTGATTGTGGTGGTTCCTGATTGTGTTGAGATGCCCTTGATTGTGGTGGTTCCTCGTTGTGTTGAGATGCCCCTGATTGTGGTGGTTCCTCGTTGTGTTGAGATGCCCCTGATTGTGGTGGTTCCTCGTGTTGAGATGCCCCTGATTGTGGTGGTTCCCCGTTGCATTGAGAGGCCCCGATGGTGGTTCCTTGTTACGTTGAGGGGCCCTGATGGTGGTTCCCAGTTGCGTTGAGAGACGGGACCCTGATGGTGGTTCCCAGTTGCGTTGAGAGACGGGACCCTGATGATGGTTCCCAGACCGGACCCCAGTTGCGTTGAGAGACGGAACCTAGAGAGAGTGAGGAGGAAACAAAGAGAATTTTTTTCATATTAACTAAATCGAGTTAGGACGAGACTACATTCATTGTCACCGTCACCCTAGTCCCTCTCCACCTCACTTTTATATATTAACTATATTAAATTTAAAACACAAAGACTCCTCTCTCTCTCCGTCGCCTTCCTTGCGCCGTCACCCCACTCCCTCGTATGGGTCGCCTGGGCCGTTAACCCCACCGGCACCGGGATTTCTGGAGCCCAGGCCCTCATCACCACCCTCTCCGGCGACGTCCCCTCCGTCCATACCTTCGGCATTTCCTCCTACTCTTCCGTCCGCCCCTCACCGCTCTCCTTCCCCATCTGGGACATCGCCGCTGAATTCGCTGACGAACGGCTCACAATCTTCGCTGCTGTGGAAGTTCCAGCCAAGCCTAAGTCGCTGAACCAGGTCTAGCAAGTTGGACCGACGGTCGACCCGGAAACTGGTGCGCCACAGATTCATGAGTTTACACCAGCCAATTCGGATGCGAGTGTTGGTGTTTGATACGGAGGGTGGTTCTGGTCTTCCCCCACGTGCTCACGGCAGCGCGTCTCCTGCATCTGCGCCGGCGAATATCGGGGTTAATGGAACTGCCACTGCCGCCTCTGCGCCGGGCTCGTCGGATAAGGCCGGAGTTGCCGGAATTGGAAAGGGCATTCCGGGGTCGGTTGTGGGTTTGTTTGTATTTATTTGGGAAATTATTTATTTATAAGGACATTTTGTTAAAACTACATTATAAGTTGGATATTAGATAATAAATAAATAGATTATTTTAAAAACATTACCACAAAAATAGATATTATGAATTTATTGATTCGACAAATAGTTATTAAAATATAAATTTATTAATTAAATATTATAAATAAATAGATGATTCGATAAATAGTTATAATATTAATTAAAATATAAATATAAATATATTAATTTTTTTTAGTACCTCGATTTTTTTCCTCTGCCTCAGGTTGTCTTGCAATCCCTCCTATAACTTGGCCTGCAGCAGTACCTTAACCAACCCCAGGTCCAATTTTTTCCCTCTACCTCGGGTTGTCTTGCAATCCCTCCTATAACTTGGCCTGCCTTAACCAACCCCGGGTCCATTTTCCCTCTGCCTCGGGTTGTCTTGCAATCCCTCCTATAACTTCCTGCAGCAACTTGGCCTACCTTAACCAACCCCAGGTCCATTTTCCCTTTGCCTCAGGTTGTCTTGTAATCCCTCCTATAACAGTGGTACCTTAACCAACCCGCGCAATCCCTCCTACAACTTGGCCTGCAGCGGTACCTTAACCAATCCCAGGTCCAGGTCTAATAGAAGCAAGCCCGACAGTCAATCTAGTAGCAATAACAGAAGGTAGAAATCGATATTTGGGCAATAGGGTATCAAACCAACATTACACACTAACAGATATTAGAAAATAGACTGAGAAGTTCAGTAGATCTCTATTTAGTGAAAGAACTTTTCAAATATTACAACAAAGACTCATAAACACTAATTTGACAATTACACAATGCGATCATTAATCAAATTCTATCAAAATGTGGCATTTCAAAAAAGAAATGTCAAGATAAGAGTAAACACCGACCATAAGAGGTACTAGTCCTATACTAACGAAACCTTGTTGACTGATCCTTCACTATCGTTAACTAAAGTTGGGCATTCTAGTGTCGAGATTCAGATCCATGACCTCTTAGTCAAGAATATATGTCTTCCCCGCGTCTTCTCTTCAACAGCAGAGCATTTATGTTGGAATTTATCAAAAAAATCTACTTTTTTCTTTTCTTGTTTCGTATCGACTATATAGATCTAAATCAGATACGCAGATCTATTTTCCTACTCTCCCCAGATCAATGATCAACACTAACTTTATCTATCTATGTATACAAAAACGAGCCACTGATTCAAATGAAAACTGACCTTTTTTTGTTAAGGATTTGAATTTTGCGTTCTTACGAGATTTCTCTCCCACTCGAATACTCGAGAAATCTCAGTATCTTGAGGTAACAAAGATTGAGGATCAAGAGGCTTCTTACTAAGAATGTTTGAGATAACTACTTGAAGAGTTTGACAAGCATGGACTTCATCAATCTTCTGCAAATCTGTCAATTCTAAACTATAATCTTTCCATGGTTGGTAGAACGTCCTGGAATCAAAAGATCGGTTTATAAGATAAATAGCACAATCAAGAGAATATTAAAAAATTAAACAGACTATATTTTAATAATGAAAATTAAATCCTCAATTCTTCTAACTTCATAATATATCATAAGATTCTACGAATGTTGTAGATTAAAAAAATTGAATGTAGATCAACTGTCTTCCAACATTTTTATCTAGCAAATTCATACTCGAAGCTGTCTTAAGCTATCACAATCAGTTGAATTTAGAAGAAGCTGTTTATGATCAAAATGCACCATAGAACATATGTAGATATGATCTAACTAGGATTAAGAAAGGTGGAAAGTAAATCTGAAAGGAAAAGATTAAAAATAAATTACAAAACTGAAAATTTGAAAGTTTACCGCTATAAGTTAAAATGAGGAAAATTGTGAGATTCCACATCGGTTGGAGAGGGGAACAAAACATTCCTTATAAGGGTGTGGAAACCTCAACATAGCAGACGCATTTTAAAACCATGAAGGGAAGACTAGAAAGGAATGTCCAAAGAGGACAATCTCTACTAGTGGTGGGCTTGGGCTCTTACAAATGGTATCAGAGCCAGACACCGGGAGGTATGCCAGCGAGGACGTTGGAACCTCAAGGGGGATGGATCTTGAGATCCCACATCGGTTGGAGAAGGGAAAGAAACATTTCCTTAGAAGGGTGTAGAAACCTATCCCTAGCAAACGCGTTTCAAAGCCTTGAAGGGAAGCCCAAAGTGGACAATATCCACTAGCGGTGGACTTGAGCGGTTACAAAAATGCTTCTCCAGAACAATTATCATGGTTCGGAAATTGGAAAGGTTGAGGAGGATTTCATGACATTGTGGATTCTCGAAAACTTGTTATTATAGACTCAGCAGAACAGAACTAAATTTCTTCCTTTTTTCTTCATTTCTTCCGTCCTTGGCTCCTAGCAGCTAGCATGCTTTATGCAATGAAGAATATATCCAAGACAAAATGGCAGTCACTTAAATACGACTGTGAATAAACTGAGCCTTCTAAAAAGAATATAACTACTAAATCTTTTGTATCTCTTGTTTGGGTAAGCTGGAAAGACGTCAAACAGAAAGGCTAGAGGATAGAATATGCATACCATCTCCATGCAGGATTTACTTCTTCAGGGCAACGTATCTTTGACAACAGTTGTGCCAAATCAGCTCCATGACTATGAAAGAGACCTGATCCGTTATAAAAAGTAGGTATCAGACAAGATGTGAGACAACAAAGTAATGTAGTAAAGCAATTGAAATGTGTAGACTAAAACAAATTATGCACTTTCAAGATATCCAAAAGAACAAATTAGACTAAAACAGCTAGCATTACAGATATCAATGTGTAGACTTGATCAATATATAATGGTAAATACTTCCTTTTTTGCAACGTTATAACAATTATTATTTTGACAATTTCTCATGAATAAAAACACAATACTATACTAAACGATCAGCCTCAAAGTGAATCCTTCGGCTAAGAAACAGAAAGAACAAATGAGAAAATGAGAAGGCATCCAAAAAAGGAAAGTTCATAAAAAGTATCAAATATTGAGTTAATTAAGTCTGGTGAACAACCGGTGACGAAGAGAAATGGTGGCCGGTAGCGATGGTCGGTGATGTTACTTGTTAGGGTTTTTAGATTCACGATTTCTTGTCTTTTTTGTTTTGTTTTGTTTTGTTTTGTTATTTTTTGTTTAAATTTAAATGATTTGCTCTTTCTGTTTCAAAACTTCCCATGCAATGAAGTGTCTTGGCCTACACAATGAAGTGTTTGTGCTTCTAGGTTGCTGAGATGAATTTCACTGGTTTAATGGAAGGATAAAAGGTTTGCTCCAATAAAGACATCAAAATGATAATATAATGGCAACAAAAAAAAATTAAAGAATTTAAGACATTCAAAATATACCTGCAGAAATGAGAGCATCCAAAAGGAGGAGACAAAGGGCAGATATCACCACCGGGAGCACCATGAAACTACTCTTAAGATGTTGTTGGAGATAGAAAATATTTGCGGCTAAGAGCTCCTCACAACCAAATTCATGTAGACTACTGTCATCACCCGTATTTTTAACATGTTCTAATAAAGAGTAGAGTGTTTCAGCACTCGGTTTTTCTGTAGTGGCAAGGTTCAAACTATCAAGCTTCCAAGAAATCCTTCCAAAAATTACAGAAGCAGATAACCAACGTAGAAGCTTTGATGTCAAGGATTCGTCAAAATGCTCTTCATCAGATTCACTCATTAAACCCAAATGAGATTCTTTGTCTATCATTCTAGAATCAGACTCTAAAGCGGTGGAAATTGCCCATGAAAGAAAATCTGAGCACTTCTTTAGACCCTGCAAGAAATCAAAGAACCAGTTGATAATTTTAACATAAAACGTAGTAAAAATTAAACATATGATTCAAGTGTAAGATGAAAAAAATGAGACAAATGAAACACTATGAAGGATCATGAAGCATATCGATTATATATAATATAATTAAAAGAAATGATACGGGCTTAAGTCCATCAGACTCGTGGATGAAGGATGGTAAAAATACAACTTCCCCACTCTTCAACTCGCTCTATCAAGCCAAACTAATACAAGTTCAAGACGGGAAAAAGAAAAGATAAACAAAACACTTTTTAAATGCAAGTAAATAAATCAAGGACTTGTTTTTTTTTTTCTTTTTTTTTTTTTGGTGAGAGAGAGATACCACGCTTAGAAGCGTTTTCTGTGGAATGTTCATGAGTATCAATTTGAGCCCAGTAGCTGAATTTGAACCCAGTCTTGTACGATCTAATCTGTGAACCGCCTGATAAATGTGAAACAAGCCCTCAATTGACAACGTATAATGGGGCTGGTAAACTTTTCTTTTCTGTGATATTCTGAGCACGGATGTTATTATCTGCAACATTCGATTAACTAGTGCCCCTTCTATTAGCGATTCCTCACCACCAAGCAAGAGTTTGAAAAGGTAAGATGAAAATTCCATTAGCTGCTCAAGGGCATCTTTTTGCAACCATTCACAGATGTTTCTGAATGAAATGACATTATTTACAACCTGGATCCAGAAACATAGATAAGAAAAAGAGATATTGGTTTAAGGTTATTTATTTGATCAAGGGAAAAGATGGTATTCCATTAATTGCAACCTACCTCTTCTAATTTTAATCTAGGACGAATCCAGTTTCAGGTATAAAATCCATTAATTATATCAAAGCGCACATCATATGGTTAAGTAGTAGTGAAAAAATAAAGCACATGGGTCATGACTGTAGTGAAGCTATTAAACCCTGAATGAAAAAAATTAAAAAATTAAAAAATTGCTACCTCTAATACCAAGTTCAGCTGCTTTGCAAAAAAGGATTTCTGATCTTCATTAAGTCTCCTGCTAGAGGTTGAAATGATAGAGCATAACCATGAAAATAGACCATGTTCCACCAAATAAAATGCCATCCGTTGCAACTTAACAGACTTCTTCATTACCTAGAATGTCAATAAGGCGGAAGACATTAAATTTGCTGATAAAAGCCCAAACGTAAAAGAAAACTGAAAAGGGGATATAGGAAAAAATGTGTGAAAGCTACAACAACCACAATATATCGCCAAAAAACCCTCCCTCCCCTCCACCCTCACCATCTCAAGAGAGAGAGAGAGTCTAACCTTTGGCATGTTCTTTAGAGGATGATAACATAAGTTGAATAATTTAAATACTCTCAGGACAACGAAGTCCACGCCAAAATAGTAAAAAGCCAAATAGCATTCATCCAAAGAATAGATCTAATAGCATTCAACCAGAGGAACTTTGAAACTCCACAAGACTTTTCCCATCTCTTTTACAACTTTCAATGGGTCTCTAAGAAATCGTGGGTCTTTCTGCTTTAAATTGTTTCCCTTATTTGCTGTTATTTTAACCATTCCTTTAGTCGTTGTTTATATATAATCATTAATTTCTCTTTAAGTATAACTTGTTTAAAATGTACTGTATTAATAAATCAACATATACAAGTAAATAAAATACAATGGCACACCCAGTAATGAAAATTATGCAGCACACACCAGATAACAATCAAGAGAAAATTTTATAAGGTTAAAATACCATTTTGGTCCATGTACTTTGATTTCTTCTCTATACTTCCAAACGTCCATTTAGTCCTAGAACTCTAAATAACGCTTAAAATTGGTCTCTACCATTAGTTCATAGTTAATTTTTATCGAAAATAATTAAATAATAATAATAATTTTCACATAATAAGAGACACAATGTGAACATATTCCAAATTCTATAGAATAAATACTAATAGAGACTAGTTTTTTTATTTAGAAAAGCTAACAATAAATAGATAAACAGAAACCACTTCAAGCTTTATTGAAAGTACATGGATTAAAATTGAACATTTGAAAGTGCATGGGCTAAAATGGAATGAAACCCAAAACGTAGAGACCAAAATAATACTTTTAACAATTTAATTAAAATAAGAACATTGAAAAGCTCCATAGATTTAATTTACCTGAAGAATAAGAACATGAATACGAACATGAATAATACCATGAACTTGATTTACCTGAAGGATAAGCTCCTTAGATTCATTATCTGAAAGAGAGGAAACATAAAAGCTCTGCAGATCCTCGTGAATTGAGCTTTTGATATATAACCGGGCATCATCATCAACATTAATCCCCACATAAAGTAGGCGCAACATCCATAACCTTTCAGATTTGAAGTTTACGGAGCTGCTCCAGAGAAAATTCTTAAACAAAGGAACCGACTGCAATTGCCAATAGGGCAAAAGAAATTTAGGCTTCAGCCATGAACTATCATAAAGTCTAAGGTATGGCAGAAATATGGAATATGGAAGGAAAATCTAACGGCAACAATGAAGAATATGAAATAAATAAAGAGATTGTCTGCAAAACTGTTTTTTTCTTTTCTTTCTTTTTTTTTTTTTTTCCTTTTTTTCCTTTACATTTTTCTTTCTTTTTTTTTTTCCCTTTCTTTCTTTCTTTTTGTGTGTGTGCGTGTGTGCGTGTGTTATCACCATATACATATTCTCACTGCATTTTTATTTTAAGAGACATATAACTGGTATGTCAAAAAATGCAAGTCATATATAATTCACAAAAGTATTACCTTCCTATTCATCCTGGAAGATCGCACCAAAAATTTACTTAATGCTGCATAATGATGATGGGATTGTTCCAACAAAATAAACGATGCCTCTGCAGCAAAAAGCGCAGTGATGGAAGGAATTCTCTGCCATGGCTCTTCAATGCCATTTTGCACATATGTTAAGAGGAGCCGTAGTCTCATGGTACCCTTTCTCCGCTTACCATTCTGCAAAAAACGGTCCAGTCTGTAAACACTTGGAGGAATAGTCATAAACCTTAAAAGGAGAAAAATAAAGTGAAATCCAATGGTGCAATAATCTTTCTTGACAGCGGTTGGGTAGACTTGGACATCATCCTTTACACCTTCCTTTCTATCCAGGGAAGTTGTTTCTTTGGCTAAAAAAGAAATCACATTGACAACCAACTTTTAAACCTAACAAGTGTTATCTAGTGCCTCAATACCCCGTTAATATCAGCCATGACACAAACTGCTTTTAAGTATGTTTATATTTCACCCTTTGTGTCCATGTGAAGCATAATTGAAACAATCCCAAGCTGTCCGTCATTCGGATTCCATTAATGAAAATATAGCATATAATCAAATTCCCAAGTTAGCATTTTTCTAAAGCAAGTAACCAATTACAAGAGCCAGAGAAATGAAAAGCAGCATAGACCTTATTCCAGCTGAATTGAACTCTAATATTACGCTCTAAATGTTGTTTTGTTGCTTTCACATATTTCCTGAGTTCTAATAGGTGTTCACATTATTGAACACCTTATTGAACTTTTTCTAATAGGTGTTCCCAAGTTAGCATTTGTTGCTTTCACATTATTGAACTTTTTCTGAAGTGATAAACATGTGTTTTTAGAAGGAATGCACGGTACCAAATTTCAAGCATCAATACAAGCATTGCATGCACGATAAATCAACTAGAAACCATATTTAAGAAGAATATTAGAATTACCTCCAATGCGTCTTTTAGTGCCCCAAGAGTTTCATAGCCTAATTTTCTTAATGTTTCATTAGCTGAAGACAAGCTAACAAATGCAATTGCAAGCAAACCCATCGAAGCAAATTCCAAAGCTTCGATGTAACCAATTGACAGAGCATGAATTGAGAACCGCAAGACATAAACTGGATCATATTGTTCAGGTTCAGTACCGTGAAAATTTCCCTGCATCAATGCATTAAAGTATTCATTTTGAACACAAAAGTATTAGAGAAATTGTAAAAAGAAGCCTTTTGATTTGTGTCAATACAGGATAATAAAACTATTGTTCACCTTAATGAGATCATCTAGATTCTTTATTTGATACTTCTTCATGTGTAGTCCGTCATCCAATTCAGTTCTATCAGGAGGAAAGCATAGCACTGTGGACACACATATTCTGGGATCGACAGGAATATTTTCTCTAAACTGATTTTTGCGGCACTGTTTGTGAACTTCAGCATCATTCCCGATATTTGAAGAAGATTCCTGCTCTAGAAGCCGTTCTTTTGAAACTCTCGATACAGCATTTCCCCATAAAAAATCCATTTGGACTAGATTTTTCACATCTGATCCAACTATAGTTTCAATGTCATTTAATGTCTTTAAGATAGCAGAGTCAGTTTCACTGATAGTGGCACCATAAGAAGACAGAAGCAGTGAATGCAGTTCTTTGAAATTTACAGTATCATCTTTTCCATAACCACCTTGACATACCTGCTTGTGCACAAGTAAATGAACAATCTTAACAATTACCAAGCGTTTCAAGTCTACCTGAGTGGTTCTTGAATCTTCGTGCCAATTAGATTCCAAATGATTAGTTGAAGGTATGACAAGTGATCTTAGTATGCTGGACATTGGCCTCAAAAAAGTTTCAATCGAATGAGATGGTTTTGGAGCTGAATGGATAGTGGGAGCAAACTGGGAGTGCGCAAGCAGCAGCTGCAAATATACATCTTCTGCAAACCTTCCATCAGACAACAAATTTAGAATGCTATAAAGAATATTCAATGTTGTTGGATCCTCAAACCTATATAAGAGGGAAAATCTCATTAATTGCTCTAGAAAGGGGATGGATAATAATTTGACAAGCGCATCATGCATTTCTGTGCTTAATTCAAGAATATTGTTCAGTATGAAAAGCTCCAAGTATCTGAATAATCTTGAGTTGTCCATTTGTTTTTCTTGAATATCGGAGATAAAAGAAAATCTTTTCACAATCCACTGCCAGATGTTCACCAAAATACTCAAGTACTGCAACCTTGAGGATTCTTCTTCATCTGACCTTGCTGAAGAATATTCTGATGACTTCGTGTCTTCTTTTGGCAAAGACTGAATGCTGCAGCTTTCTGGAAATAGCAACACCCTACAAAATGATATCTTCGCAACAACCTTGTTGAGAAAATTTAATATCTGACTGGGTGAATAAGAATCAAGTTCATCAACCTCAAATTCTAAAACTTCATCAGTTGAACAAGAAGCTGGAATAAGGCAACTAAATAATTTCAATCGCTTCTTCACTGTCACCAGATCTCCACTAAATGCAAAGTGGTGCCTTAGCATACTCACTGCTTTTCCAAGGAGACTGTCATTAACAAGATCAATAAATTCTTGAGTGGATGATGGAACTAAATCACCAAATTCTTCATAGAAAATAGTTTTGGTCACGAATCTCTTCCATTTACGTAAACCTTTAAACAGAATTCTTGAATATACTGAAGAGAAGCTTTTGAAATTATACCAGCAATTTTTTCCAAACTTCACATCAATTGAATTCAAGTATGACAGAGAAGTAGGCAGGAGCATAAAAAATTCCTCATCAGAAAAATGGAAGTTCAAAGTATCTTCCCTCTCAATGTCCATGGAATTCTTGTTCATAACATCCACAATGAAGAGACCAAAGATTGAAAGATGCAAGGAGCTAGCCTCAGTAAGAATAAACAACAATTTAGCCTTTTCTTTATTGGTCCTATAGACGCAATAAGAAACCAACTCACTTGATAAGTTCACTATAAATCTGAACATTGCTAAATGTATTTGATCAAAATAATCACATAGCATGGATTTTTTTGCACAAATAGTCTTAACCACTTCAAGCAAGCATGTATCTGCAAACTCTGACTTGTGATGTATTGCAAATACTTTTGTTTTAGTGTAAATTTCATCAATGATTTTACATGCATTCTTCTCATCCATTTCCCAGAATAAATTGTACTGTAATCTTCTAGAGAGTGGTAACTGCAAAAAGCCTGTGGCCTTTCTTAAAGAAATGACAGCAATGCCAAATCCAAATGATAGCCCATGAATTTGGGCCATCTCAGATTTCTGTACTGCCAAGTCCTTTATGTCTACTCTATTGAATATCCAAGTCGCTAATTCAAGAAGATCAAAAGGAGGTATAAAATGATTTAAAGCATGTAAAGCAAAAAACGGGGGCAGAAGTGGTATCAGGTCCATTGTATCAATAAAGAGATCAAAACGGTCCCTGAACTCAGAAAATAGCTTCTGTATGAGAACCTTAAAAGTCTTCAGTATCTCTCTGAATGTTGAATCTAGGCCATCACAGGAGGTTATAAAATACTCACAAGAAGTGGTCAATAAGTTGACAATGTGACGATCTAATGTGTTAACACTCTTCCCAGACAACTGAACCAAAGATTCCAAATTTAAATTAATAGCATCATTCATCAAGTCCCCTGGACAGTTTAGGGGACAGGACAGGGATGATACTACAGCAGGATGAGAGAATATGGTTTCTGCTACATCTTGGACCTCTAGCCTTAACAGAGAGCCCTTGTAATCTCCAGCAGTGCCAGAATGAGTTATTGAAGCTAGCAGCTTAGCTAAGGTGTTCTGAAGAAGCATAAAGCAAATTTGGGAAAGCTGCTCAAGTTCAACTATAGGCTTAAATCTATAAGAGATTCGTATCTGATAGGCCCAAAATAGGACAAGCCTTAGATACGATAATAGAAGGTCATCAAATGTCAACTCATTTAGTTTTAGCAGAAGCAAATCTTGTATCTTCGGAAGTGTAAGAGAACTGGGACCACGAGCGCACATGATTACAGGAAATAGAACATGAAAAGGTGTTCTCTTCAAAATGGTAGAAAACCCAGTGGAGTATGCTTCAATTTTATCGAACTCCATGTTACAAATTTTTTCTTCATCATTCATTAAATGACAATGACCAGCAAAAACATCCTCATTATGCGTAGTAGACATTCTGCGGGAGAAGAATAATAAATTTTTCAATGGTCTCCACTCACAGTTAGAACTTCCAGATTCCACATCCAAAGGACCATGGTCATCAAATACCTCAGACAAGATAGATTCAATCACTGAAGCCAGTAACAGAGCATCAACCTATAATAAAAATTGATGTCAGACTTTTAAACAACCTAACCGCTAAAAAGTAGAAACCTCATAACAAAAAATGTGCACCTGAGTCTGCAAGAGATACTTTAGCGTACTGCTCACATAATTAGATATAACTGCTTTCTCAAGCTGGGTGAAGGCTACAGATTCCGAGCTGAGCAACCTTAGACACTTCTGCAGAACACATACGATGATTGGGCTGAACTTTGGTGAGACATCTGCAAGAAAAATAAAATAACGGACAGAAAGTGTATGCTTCAGTCATTTGGCACACGATGGACACATAATATATATATAAGCTGATGTATATTTATCTGGAATTAAAAACCAAGACTAAGAAACTGAATTAGCCAAACAAATTTTGTTCCAACCATCTTTGGTTAAATGTATAAAGATCATTTCAAATGCTAAGGAAAACTGGAAAAGAATAAATTGTAACATAAAAATTATTTTTTAAAATAATGTCAAGCGTCTCCACAATTGGTTTATCAACTTAATCTAGAAAATATGTGATTAAATAAAATGAAGAAGCTGAGATAGGTGTCAGGTTGATATTATCATTTTGAAGTTATTTTTATTGGAGAAATGAAAAAAAATCTTTATAAGTAACAATTGAAAGCTATTGAAATGTTTGACTGATTCAGAAGAGAAACAACATAGTCCTTGTCAAAGTGGAAAGCAATATTAGACATTCAAAAAAGATGCATGAATAAATCAATATTGTGGTCCCAATGAAGTGAAAAATCATGGTACCAGAATCACAATAATATTTTAAAATATAGATAGATAGATATAGATATAGTATACAATTCAAGGATCTAGACTAATCACACCATAAGATTCATAATAAGGAAAAAGCAAAAGCATGGACCAAAAGTTCACCATAAGGATGGCTATATAAACAAGCTGGAGATCTGTTTTTGATCTCTGAAAGCTAATATCCAAGAATCAAGATCAGATATCCAACCTTCTGAATCCGATATACATATCCAAACTCCAGCTAAATTAAACAGGTACATTTTGTCTATCAAAATTTTATTCAAATCAATGTCAGGTATATTCTGTCTATAACAACTTTATTCACGTCAATGTATAGGAGGGGAGACATACAACCCATCAAGGGACAAAATTTTGCGTAAGACTTACAAATTACCTTTGGCATCTTTTAAATTGCTGATGTAACTCTTCACAATACCCCAATATTTGAACAAGTTATTCCCCACAGTGGAAATGGCATCACATAAGAATGAAATTACTGTATAAATTAGATTCTCTGAACTTTCTGTCTCAAGTTCCATAAGAGATGTTCGTTGATCATGATTCACTAAAAATAAAAACCATGATCCAACTTCATACACATTTTGGTCAAGAGCACCAGTACTTAGAATAGAAGCTTGGGCCAGATAGTATGCCTTTTTCTTTATGTCCCTGTCCGGTGAATGAATGAACAAGCTCATAAATGAATGCAGATGCTTGTACATCCCTGGTGGAGTTCTAAAGTGCGTTGAACTCATTGATGATGATGGAACGTATTCAATCAGCAAGGACAGCAAAGAATGCTGCACAATAGTGGGCAATAGTAAAGAATTTCCAAGAAGACTGATGAAAAATTCAAACGATCCCTCCAAAGTATGTGGCAATCTTTGCTGCAAAAAAGAAGTTTCAAATAAAAATCATGAAAGATGATAAGCACAAGGAGGGACAACAACATAGAGCTCCAATAATGAGTAGTGACATTGCATATCATACATAAAGTGTACATCAAATATCAACCAAATATAAGCATTATCCTCTTTATAAATGTCTGAATATATGCATATTATACACTACTAGTATATCAATTGTCCCTCCAAATGGAAGCATTATTCTCTCTATAATTGTCTGAAAACAAGAGCATTTATCAGCTGATTGAGTTGATGACTATAGTTGACCATCTCCAAAGTCATCTTTGATTAAAAAAAAAAAGATTGCCAACATCATACAAAATCCATGTTCAACATTTAAATTGAATAAATACCAATAAGAAATTCAAAAAACTAATTCCAAAAATTGAAGAACCATTTAATTACAATGCCAAGATGCCAAATAAGTATCTTAGTTCTACCACTATATTAGTTATTTCTTCAAATCACAGAGAGACATGATTATAGTATCAGATCACAATATTCTCTTACAACCTTACGTGAACAGGATATGTTCTTAAGTTGTCCTAGAGTTTTAAAGATCACAATATTCTCTTAAATTAGACTTACATGATAAATTGTAAGAGCATCCAATATCTTTGAGTGGAAGTACATCTCTACGTCATTCACTTCAACAAGAGTTGACAATGGATCCAAATCCCATAGTTCAGCAATAGAAATCATGAGTTCTCTTTCCTTCTCTGATGTCTCTACCGAACAGACATCCATCATTTTTTCATCAATATCTGGAGCTGACACAATTCCACTAACAACAATATCAGTGTCATGATCTGGCGAAGTTGTTTTTAACCTTTTAACACCATGGAAGCTGCATTCCAGACCAGAGGCCCTTTTCAAATTAACTGCTTGAACTCTAGATTGGCTAGCGAATGAAGAAAGTAGAGTAAGTAGCACTTGTGAATCAGGGAGCAAAGTTTGAACTTCATTCTGCAATTCCTGCTTTAGAGACAGCCAATACAACATCTTTTGCTTATTGCCAGAAGATGCTTGGTTTAAAACATCAAAAAAAGAATTGACCATCTTCAATGCATCAAGTAGAAGTCGTAGAGTGCCATGCTTTACAAGAATATTTGAGTGAAGCAAACCTTTGTTGATTACTGATCGACTAAATGGCCGAGAAGAGAGACACCTTATAATGTTTTTTACACAAGCATTGTCCAATGAAGTAGTATCATCTGATTGAGAATCAATAGATCCAATAGACAGGCCATTGCTTACAGAAGAAACCAACTTAACTGTCAGAGAAACCACAGAAAACCTGCAATTGGAAAAGTGTCCATCACATATACAAGCCATCATATTAAGTACACAAGGTCATAAGTCACATAGTTGCAAAAAGAAATCTGACCAGGTAGGTGATAAAAAGTCTTCAAGGTTGTAAGGAAATTCCTCCAAGTAAGTTGAACAGAAAGTTGGCTGCCCCCTAATAATTGCCAAAAGCAAGTCTCTATGATAAATAACTCCAGTTGCTTTTAACTTCTTCATGAGGTCCATTAGTCGCTTTGGATTACCTTTTAAGGGATTTGGACATCGTTTCAGATCTGGCATTAACCCATTACACGGGTCAGTACAAACCATAGTTAAAACCTGGTAAGCCACCTCTGCAGCAGGACCACCATTCTCTCTTCCACATATGGTGGCCAATTGTTCCAAAGTAACACTTCCAAAAAGCACACTTCGAAGACCTGGAGGTACCAGTGACTCCTCAACAAGGACCTTGTCCCTCAATGTGGATAAAACATAAATAATAGTCACTTCATCATCATTTGCCAGTCCACGAAGCACACCAGAATACATTTCCCTTTGCTGCAAGACCCACCTCAACAGTTCAGGCTTCCCCACCTCCAAAAATGACATAGCAAACCCAATAAACAACTTTCTTGACGATTGCTTTGATCCTTTCTGATTTGGCTTCTGTCTAAATTCTGTCAGCTTGGAAAATGCACGAAGTTTAAAATCAAAGTTCTTTGCAACTCCTGAAGCCAAACGTGAACCACGCCGAACAATGGAAGACATCAACAATAGAGCTGCATTTTTGTGCTTTAACTCTTGGGAACCTAGTTCACTATTTATGTCTCCCAAGCATTCTTCAACAAGTGATCGGGCCATCATGTCAAGAACACGACTAGTTGATATTCTCTCCAAGTCATTAAGGCTGTAAATTCCATCAGGATGACTCAAAATGGCAGAAACCAATGAAAATATATACCGCATTCCAGCCTTCCCCCGTTGGAGCTTCCAGGCATCTAAAAGTTCTGAGCACTTGGGAGAAGTCTTTGCATATAAATGGAGCAACTTACACCCAATCTCCCCTTTTAATAACTTTATGAACTCTTTCGTAGCATCTGAGCATATCTTAATCTCCAAAGAGTTAATTTTAAATAGTAGCTCTTTGAGCTTAGCTTCAAGGTTTGCATTTATCGTATCCATAAGACCCAAGTTTGAATGAGTGTCCTGGAAGAAAATTCAAATCAGCTACCATCTCACTCGTATTAAAGTACATTTAGAACCAATTTTGTTAAAGAATTCAATTGATTTGATTTCCATTCCACTTTTCTCAGAACATAACTTCAAGAAAAAATTAATTCTTTTGAATTTCATAGTCTAGAAATGTTGAAATTGTACCCTCGGGTGAAATTTTTCGGGGGACTTGTAGCATATTTCTTTATTTGTAACTTGGATTAGTTTACCATCGAGATTAGACTTCACTGTTCTTCATAAATGCATCAAGGTTGCTCTGATATTCTAGTAGCATAATATTTAAGGACTTGTAACCAATATATTTTACTACCATTGAATAAAAACTTGAGCTTCAAAAAAAAAAATAATAATAATAATAATAATTATTATTATTAAAGAAAAATGATAACCCTAGGGAGATAACATAATATTAGCGCTTACTAGTCCTTGTCAGTTTCCAAGGAGAACCTTAAACCCAGGTGTGGAGTTCCTATCTCCTTGACGCTCGTCGATAAGTTCTAATCCTCCATAATCACACCCTTGCATCAACTGCTTTTAGATAACACCATCGCCAAATAAAGGGCATATACAAGCAGCCACAACCCATAAAAAAATCCCTTGCCTACCTTGCCGGTAAGTCTAAAGAACCAAATCTGCTTGCTGCATGTAGAATCAGAATGCAAAAGAATGGGAGTCACAAAAGACAGAAACTAGTGATATTGCACTGAAAAAACCCCATTTTCTGAGGGGAAAAAAATAACGAAAGAAAGGGAATGATAATCCCATTCATATGAGAATATATATATATATATCAAACAAGCAACATTGAAAAGGGGATGAGAGAACAAAAATAAACATAGATAATCAATAAGATTATCTCAATTCAATATAAAAATCATACAAATACGAACAGACAGAGAAGGAAAAAAACTTGCAATGGACATTACAAATTTGCAACCAAACGAATTGACACAGATGGTTACAGCAGAGAGTCCTTAAAACAAGAATAATTAACTATTCCTCTAACTGATTTCTTCCTTTCGGCCAAAAGGAGAAAAAGAGACTTACAGTAGCTTATAGCATAGAGGGGGAGACAGGGAATAGAGAAATAGTGAGATTATCCAGTGGACTAAGAAACCTCTGGTTGATTGTCAGGTGACGCAACTATGGATAGAGCTGAGAAGAGAGCAGCTGTTTAACTGTTACAAACAAGGGATTAAAAGATAATTTGATAAAGGAGCCTCCACTTATAATAACGACTAGCAAAAAGACCATTTTTCTATCTTTTCATTAATCAATTAATAGTTTGCTTCTTGTTCCAAGATAGAAAAGAATGAAAAAAAAAAAAAACGTATCTGCTATCCATTGAGTGTGGTGTGCGCATTGCAAGGAGCCAGAAACAACCAGCCATGGATGCATAAGATCTCGAAAAAAATTTGGCTACACTAATTTAATTTCAATATGTGCGACCTTTTAATTGTTAGGCAAAATTGGTATTCGATAGATTACTTCGATTCGTTCTAGACAAATAAACAAAAACGGACATGCTGGGAAATTCCTGGTGGGTGGAGCTTTGGAAGATTTAGGAGAATAAAAACAAGGCAATTTATAGAAGAGACCACAGATACATAAACAAAACCTCAATGCATATGCAAGAAACAAAAATGCAGAGGGTAGCACACGGCAGTTCGGGAAGTCCCAATTTGCCGCAAGGCTGGTTTCTTTTCGTTGCTATTCTACTATAAACAACGCAGTTCTAATTTGGGAGAATAACGGTAAGAACAAGAGAGTAGAACATCAGAAGTACCCGCTAAGAGGGAAGCGGCGGCGGCGGCACTAAACGGGAGAGACGCGGCAGTGGCGACGGCGACACGGCGCTGCTGAAAGTTGGAGGAGCCGGCGTGAAGGAGGGTGGAGCACGTGAGAGTGAGAGGAAAAGGGTTTAGGCAGGGTTTCTCTCTCTCTATTTTATTCGACAAAATGGGCTGATTTTACAGAGCATAAAGGCATGGATTGATTTAGGGTTTTTTTTTTCTTTTTTTTTTCTTTTTTTTTCTTTTTTTGCATTTTTCCAATTGTTATTATGTATTATAAATGGTATATTGTAATTTAATTATATTTGAAAAGTTAATTTAAATTCCTAATTTTATGGTAACTAAAATTAAAAATTAAAAATTTATCTAATTAAACTTGAACTTCCATAAATATTGCAATTTCTACGCCGGCATATCAACTACATCATTAAATTATCAACACTCATGTTTCGTTCTCCTTTCCCACCGACGTAGGACCTCACAATTCACCCACGCCTTTAGGGCCCAGCCCTTGTTGACACTCGTTCTCCTATCCAATCGATGTAGGATCTCACAATCCACCTCTCCTATGAGACTAGGCATCTTCACTGCCACACCGCCTAGTGTCCACCTCATTCAGGATTCAGGTAAACACACGAATAGAATCAATTGATTCGACCGCTCATTGACAGTAAAAACATCCTCGAAAACAATGAAAAACATAAAATACAACTCACATCTTCACAGAAGATCACCAACCTAATCAAAGGCCACCACACATAATGGAACGAGTGTGTTCTAAACATAATGCAACAATGAACATAAGAATATATGCAAACCGCATATATAATGGAATGAGTGTTCTAAATTTAATGCAATAATGAACTAAAAATATATGCAACTGCCAATCAAACACACGAAGATACATTACAACAGCTGGGAACAAATCAACCTCCCTTTCTATACTAATCTATGGCTGGATTTCAAAATTGTGATACATTTGGAAGAGAGGTATTCTGAAGCTCATGCACCTCGGATGGGGCGGCCTCTGATGGCGGTGCTGCATCATTTGTCGACGATGAATTGTGAACAGAGGAATTCTGAATCTCGGCCGCCTCTACCACAGCCTCTGAATGTTCTGTATTATTTATGGACGACGGTGGTACTTGGGCCTCTACTGGTGTCGTGTTGAAGGATGATAATTGTATATCAGATGGCTTTGAACCATTTGACGTCGTAGGAACATTTTCTGCTGGAGTAGTCGGAGATGTGTCGGTACCTGTTGTTGACGTCGGGGCTTTACCATCCAAAACCTGTTCGCTTAGTTCTGGTTGGTTCGGGGTACCGTCTGGTGGTGGTTGCGGATTAGCTGGTGGTGCTTCAAGAAGCAGTTGCTTGGCTGGTTGCTGCAATGCCCCTTGTGCACCAGGAGTTGGCTTCTTGGGAGCTAAAATGGAAGATGACAAAGTAGGCATTCCAGGAGGAAGGATTTCAATTGCAGGCTTCTTGCCTGCATCTGCCAAGCTTGTGAGTTTCGGTTCCTCGAGAGATGCAAAAAACGCAGCTGTGGCATCGGTCTTTTCCGACACGGTGTGCGCCAATTCCTTTTGAAGCATTTTGTTCCAAGACTCGACCAAGTTTTTCAATGTCGGTCGACCATGAGCCTGGAAATTGCACGTAAGTTAATACACAATCAAAAGTACAGATACAACACAGCTAAAGATGACATACATGAGCATGAAGCACAGCTTCCGCAAGCATTCCTGTGTCTTGCCATGCTTTTTCCATGAGAGCATTGTCTCCCAAGACTGCAGCTGCAAACGCTGCTTCGCGTCCCGAGCCGATCGAGATCAAATTGTTTACCAATCCCTGTAGCATTTACATCGTCATTTACCATAAACGGACCATTGGAGACTAATTATTAAAGTACGTACACTCAGTCGTGTCAACTCTCCATGATTCGCTAGTCGCAGAGCCAATCCTCTCAACTCATGACCCTGTAAAGCACCTTTCAAGGAACCTGCCGCAGCTAACCTCTTTAGAGCCTCACGAGCAATATCGGCTTGTCCAGTAGCATCAGCAGCATCAATCAAATCCAAAAACTCTTTAGCAAATTTCGTAATTCCTTGAAATGTTTCCACAATATCTTCCTTTTTAGTTGTTAAGCTGAGAATGTCATTCAAATCAAGCCCTGTATTATCTTGCCCCATATCCCTGCTGTTGCTCATTGTAAGAAGACACTGAAGTGCTCTTTTTAAATCATTTCCTTGCATGGCCAGATCAAATTCCAATCTGAAATTTTCAACAATTAGAACTAGGACTAGAGTAATCAGATTGTTATACAACTAATATGGCTTTGATTAACACAGTGACCTCATATCGAGCGACAGAATCCAAGCTACTAGTCAAAGAGTGATCGAGGAACTCTGTATAAGGTGGCTCGAAAATGGCAACAAACCACGAAAATGGGTGTACATGTTTGTATGGTTTCTAATAAAAAATCTTGATATAACAGCAAACATAGGCATTTTATTTCTACAGTAGGGTAGCATCTTTCCTGCAAGTGTTTGTTTACCTTTTAGATATTCCAGGCAGATGTAAAGCTTCGGTGGCATAGCCCATTCCAAGCATAAATTGGGCTAGATCATCATGATGTTCTCTACCAAGCCTACTTGCCCTGCAGGAACAAGAAGTATTTAGGACTTGAAGCAATTCCGGCTATGACCAACATGTAAAAGAATGAGGAAATAGCCAATACCATTTGACAGCACTGACTGCATCACCATAGGCAGCAAGACATCGGCACCGAATACCGGGATGATTTAAGGATAAAGCATGTGCACTCATGTACCTGGCCAAGAAAAATCAAGCAGCATAATTCATGAACCCTTCCAAGCATAAGAGATAATGACATTGGAAATGTGGAAGGGGATGATAAGTGATGGTATAAACTCTAAGAACGGTAGTGTAATTTTGTAAATACTCCACAAGCACATCGTTGGATGAAAGATTTAGTGAACTTTCACCAATAACTCTGGGATGGTCTAACAAAATGAAAATACACGAACCGACGGAGAACCGGGTTGAAAATTTGAGCTGAAAAACTTCAACACTTGTTCTTTCTTTTGGGAGGAAGTGTAGTTATGTCCTTTACATTGCAATAAACTACAAGATTCAAGTACCTGTCAATCAACCAGAGAACACCATCTCTAACACCAACCACAACCAGAGGTCCTACAGGGCGTTTCTGCTCAGCTGGGAATCGAGTAACAGCCACTGACACTCCACCTCCGCCAACTGCTATCTCGTTAGTTCTTCTTTCTTCAAACTCCTTTTGCATCATTGAGTCATCTGAATCCACTTTCGACTGTTTGGGTAATGATAAAAATGGTGGCACAGAAGGAGCTTGCTGAAATGATGCTAGTCGCACCACCTGAAATTTTAAGGTAAAATTAATATTAAAAGATAAGAAAGAAATTCATATGATTCAAGAACCATATACTGCTATATACCAAAATTAAGCTGTAGAAACCCTATTTTGAGCAAAGGGTTCAGCAAAAGGTTTCAAAAAATAATGATATTTTTTTGTTCCCCTTGCTTTTAAGAACTAGTTTCCAAATGGTAAACCAAATGTCATCATTATTTTCTACAGTTTTGAAGAGGTTTTTGTCAGAACTATAAGAAAATTTTAAATTGTTAAATTTCACATTGGAAGAGACTTTCCCGATCAGAACCTGCATGTATTCTGAAGTCAGTAGGAAAGGTCTTCCCATATTGTCAAGGATGTGCATGATCAAATCAAGATTCACATTGTGTGGACCCAAAATCAAACAACATTGCTAATATTGTGACCACGGATAGTCACGTACAAAGAAAGGGAAGGATATTTGACCTGAAGCATTGGGGGCCTCAACGTTATCCTTTCTTGGTTAACAGTTTGAGGGCCATCTACAGTAATAAGAGCTAAGTCCCCATGCTGAGCAATGGCTTTAGCTTGTGCTTCTTTCAACTTCATCTCGTCTTTCATCCTTTTTGTTTCAATGTCAATAGGTGCAACTCCAGCATCCACAAAAACGCATCTAAATCAAGCAGCAGAACTTAAGTACCTGAGTTCTAGACTTCTAGTAGTATTTACTTAAAATTTAAAACTCAAATTTCTATTATAACGATCAGATATCTAGAACTTCAAATAATTTATAAGACATCAAAGAAGATGAATTACATTAAATGACAAAGACAGACAAATGAGAAAAGTTATTTGTACGAGCAAAGAAAAAAAGACTATGAGTTCTCTCTTCTCATTCCAGAATACTCAATCTCCCCTTTCTCCACTAAGCCTCACCAGAAACAATAGAGATGGTAGAAAGTTTTCCCTGCTCTCTCAATGGAAACACACATAACAAAGAGCAAAGATTGATCAAAATGGCAGAGGAAGAATGGTTAAAATTTCAGAAGCCCATATCAACCATATGTTACATAATTAGTAATGTTTAGCCCAGATGTAGTTATCCTTCAAGAGACAAAGTTGAGCACGATGGATAGGAGGATGATCAAATCAGTTCGGAGAGCGAAGTACATTGGTTGGTTCCTCCAGAGGAATATTGTTGATGTGGAAAGAGGAAAATAACTGTCTTTGAATCTATTCAGAGGTCTTTTCCATCTCCATTTGCTATCTCTTCAGCAACAATCTTAGTGGTGGATAATGGGGGTGTATGGGCTGACATCCCCTCGGAACATGAAAGAGTTTTAGCAGGAGATCTTCAACGAACCAACAAACCCCATGTCATTTTCATATCAAATGTGAATAATGATTACAGATACAACAACTCATCACCTCCTTGGAAATGGCTAGGTGGTAGCAGTTGCAGCTAGTGACACAACGAAAGGGGATGGAGGGAAAAGGATGGACTAGGTGACGAGAGGAAAGAAACAAATGAAGAATATAAGAAAGAGACGGGAAGCAGCAGTTGAAGACAACAGGAAAAAAACAGAGGGAATCAACGGGGAAGAGCGGAGGCTAGGGTTTAAAGAAGAAAACCAAAAGAGAGTACGGTCAGGCAGCACCAGACAAAGCTAACAGTGAGGAGGGGTGGCTAAGGATAAAAGAAAACAAAGGAAAAATGGAACTAAGGAGTGAAAGAAGTGGGAGGGAGACAGCCAATATGCAACAGACGAAACTGA